GCATGCCTGTAATTCCGGCTACTCGGAAGGCTGAGGCGGAAGGATCGCCAGAGCCCAGCAGGTGGAGGCTGCGGTGGCTGGGAGCGGCCACTGCATTCCAGTCTGGGCGACAGAGTGAGACTCCAACTCAAAAAAAAAAAAAAAAAAGAAAACAGCATTTTTAACAAGGTCATGGAACCACTCTTTGAGAAACAATAGACTAGAGATTGAAGGACAAAAATTAATTGCAAGGCTGTTAAACCAACAATATAAAAGAGAAGAAATACCTTAAGAGAACTAGCTTAGGCTGGGCGCAGTGGCTCATGCCTATAATCCCAGTACTTTGGGGTACTGAGGTGAGAGGATTGCCTGAACCCACGAGTTCGAGACCAGCCTAGGCAACTTGGCAAGCCCTCATCTCTACAATAAATCAAAAAATTAGCTGGGTGTGGTGGCATGCACCTGTAGTTCTAGCTACCTGGAAGGCTGAGGCGGAAGGATTGCCTGCGCCCAGTAGGTAGAGGCTGTGGTGGCCATGAGCGTGCCACTGCACTCCAACCTGGGCAACAGAGTGAGACTCTTACTCAAAAAATAAAATAAAATAACACAATAAAATGTAATAGCTAAAACTAAGGGAACATCCCTTCCTTTGTTTTCTTTTTTTTAAATTTGTTTTCAAGTTTAGTTATTCAAAACCTTCAATACAATTTCTGCTCTGTATCTGTCTATCTAATATTTAATATATGTAATACAAATATAAAAGTAGAATTATCCCTACTCTTAAACAGCTGAGGATGAGAGAAGGGATGGAGATTAATATACAAGCAGCACATAAGACTACAGCAGGCTTTCTAGGAATTACAAGGTTTTGAGTGAATGAAACCAAAGTCAAACAATACAACTGGCCGGGCTCAGTGGCTCAGCCTGTAATCCCAGCATTTTGGGAGGCCGAGGCAAGTAGATTGCCTGTGCCATGGGTTCGAGACCCACCCGGGCAACTTGGCGAGACCTCGTCTCTACAATAAATCAAAAAATTAGCTGGGCGTGGTAGCGGCTGCCTGTAGTTCCAGCTACTTGGAAGGCTGAGGCGGAAGGATTGCCGGAGCCCATTAGGTCAAGGTGGCCGGGAGCGTGCCACTGCACTCCAGTCTGGGTGACAGAGTGAGACTCCAACTCAAAAAAAAAATACAACTAATCTTTTAGTTTTGTTTTCTTTACTGAATATTTTAGGGAGAGAAAATAAGATAATTTTATTAGAGAATTTGAAATAGTTTATAAAAAGTTACTTCCAAAATTTTTTTGCCTTTTTCAATCCTGAATAATTATGATGAAATAATGTCCTACACTTGTATCGTGTTTTACAATTTATAAACCATTTATACAGCCCTGGAACAACCTTAAGCCTTGGTATTATCTGCTGTTTACAAGCTAAAACTCAGGCAGATTAAACGACTTATCTAAGATCACAGCTGCTATGTGGTAGAACTTGGATTCCAGGTATGGTGGCTCATACCTGTAATCCCAGCACTTTGGGAGGTAGAGGCGAGAAGATTGCCTGAGCCCAGGGGTTGGAGACCAGCATGGACAACTTGGCAAGACTTCGTCTCTACAGTAAATAAAAAAAAATTAGCCAGGTATGGTGGTGTGTGCCTATAGTTCCAGCTACTTGGAAGACTGAGGCAGGAGGACCACCTGAGCCCAGGAGGTCGAGGCTGCAGTAGCCATGAGCGTGCCACTGTACTCCAGCCTGGGTGACAGAGTGAAACTCTGACACACACACAAAAAACATAAAGCGGAACCTAGACTCCAATGAATATATTCTGCTCTAAACCTTTTGTCTTTTCCCCTCTCTCAGCTTTTCCTTCTGACTATACACTAACATGACCTGTGGTTTCTATATTCCCCCAACAACCCGAATGAATTCCCAAGACTCATATGTAGGCATCCCAAATAAAGATATATATATATATAGATAGATAGATATAGATATATATAGATTTTTTTTTTTTTGAGGTGGAGTCTTATTTTGTTGCCCAGGCTGGAGTACAGTGGTACACACGCTCACGACTACCCCAGCGTCGACCTGCTGGGCTTTGGCGATCCTTCTGCCTCAGCCTTCCACCAAATAAATATTTTTAAGCAGATCATTTAATGTTGAAATATTTTCATATTGGAAATAAAAATTTATATATCAGAGCACAGTCATTTGATTTTTAAAAAACTGGACTGGCCGGGCTCGGTGGCTCAGCTTGTTATCCCACGCCTTTGGGAGGCTGAGGTGAGTGGATTACCTGAGCCCGCGGGTTTGAGACCCGCCTGGGCAGGCGAGACCTCATCTCTACAATAAATCAAAAAATTAGCTGGGCGTGGTAGCGCGTGCCTGTAATTCCGGCTACTCGGAAGGCTGAGGCGGAAGGATCGCCGGAGCCCAGCAGGTCAAGGCTGCGGTGGCCGGGATCGGCCACTGCACTCCAGTCTGGGCGACAGGGTGAGACTCCAACTCAAAAAAAAAACAAAAAACTGGACTGATACAAATAAATAATTGAACAAATAGATAAGGTGAAGAAACAGATCTTCAGGATGTAATTACAAATAGTTCATATAGTTATTCCTTCCTCAAAGAAGTGGAGTATAATTCCCCATCCCTTAAGTTGTACTGCATATGATAACTTCCTTCCAAAGGACAGTTTGGAAAGGAAGGGAAAAGAGTAACTTCACAATGGAGGAAACTGACAAAAACTACTTTAGCCAGGTGATCAAGATTGACATCAGCAGAATCAGTCAAATTGATAGGATGTACCCTTGACATTGATGTGATGAAAATGACACTTTACCTCTGTGGTCTTCCACCCCAAAACCCATAACCACAGGCTCATCATGAGTAAAACATCCTGAAAAACATTGACCAGTACTCAAAACCATTTAGGTCATCAAAACAAGGAAAGTCTGAGACAGCCGGGCTCAGTGGCTCAGCCTGTAATCCTGCACCTTTGGGAGGCTGAGGTGAGTAGATTGCCTGAGCCCGCAGTGGCACGCTCACAGCCATCATAACCTCAACCTGCTACACTCAGGCAATCCTACCAAGTTGCCCAGGCTGGTCTCAAACCCCTGAGTTCAGGCAATCCTCTTGCCTCGGTCTCCCAAAGTGCTGGGATTACAGGCTTGAGCCACCATGCCTGGCCTGGTTTTTATTTAATAATGTATCAATACTGGTTCATTGGTTGTGATCAATGTAAGATGTTAGTAGGAGAAACTGGGTATATGAGAATTCTATTTTATAACTTATCTGTAAATCTAAATCTAATACTATTCTAAAATAAAAAGCTGATTTAAAAAAAAAAAACACCCACATCTTTAAAATTAAAAAAAAAAAAAGGCTAGAATAGAATATCTCCCGAAGACTAGAATAGAATAGCACCTAATAAACCAATTTCCTTCTTGGTGAATTGTTATGAATTGAAATATTTTATTTTATTTTATTTTAATTTTTTTTTTAGTTGGAGTCTCACTCTGTCACCCAGACTGGAGTGCAGTGGCATGCTTCCAGCCACCGCAGTCTCGACCTGCTGGGCTCCAGCGATCCTTCCGCCTCAGCCTTCCAAGTAGCTGTAACTACAGGCGCGCGCTACCACGCCCCGCTAATTTTTGATTTATTGTAGAGATGAGGTCTCGCCAAGTTGCCCAGGCGGGTCTCAAACCCGTGGGCTCATGCAATTTACTCACCTCGGCCTCCCAAAGCGCGGGATTACAGGCTGAGCCACCAAGCCCGGCCCGAATTGAAATATTTTAGATCTAGACTGATAATCAGGATTTGGGTTAATATCATTAGAGGATTATCTCAGTATTATTAGGAAACATCCAGCTTGCATATAAACTGTTTTGAAGGAGATGAGTAAATAAATTAGTTGGTTCTAACTAGATTATTTGGTTCATAAAATATGTGAATAATGCCCAAATATAAACTGACCCTGAATATAATGTAATCTCTTATCTTTCCAATGAAAATATATTTTTATATTTTAAAAAAGTGATGTAGGCCGTGCGCAGTAGCTCACACCTGTAATCCCAGCACTTTGGAAGGCCAAGACAGGAGGATTGCTTGAGGCCAGGAGTTCGAGACTAGCCTGGGTAACATAGCAAGACCCTGTCTCTACAAAAATAAAATGTAAAAAAAAAAAGGATGTCAGATGGGAGATTACAGTGAATTAATTGTCCTTGATAATAATAATAGCCAACACACGGCTCACTAATGCCCAGGTACTGTTCTAAACACATTATACAAACCAACTCATTGAAGTGTGCTCTTCAGTTAGCACCCTCTTTTATTTTGAAAAGTATCACAATTTGGATGATAAATTACACAAAACTGTGAATCAACCAATTAACATTTTCAGAGTCGCTCAACAGTTGGAATGTTTAATCTTCCTCATCTGCCCATCAATTTCAAACTATCCTATGAAAGCCACTAGCCAAGACAACTATACAATATTAAAGTAGGAAGAAAACCGGGCTTGGTGGCTCAGCCTGTAATCCTGCGCCTTTGGGAGGCTGAGGTGAGTGGATTGTCTGAGCCCGCGGGTTCAAGACCCACCTGTGCAAGCGAGACATCTCTACAATAAATCAAAAAATTAGCCGGGCATGGTAGCACGCACCTGTAATTCCAGCTACTCAGAAGGCTGAGACGGAAGAATCGCTAGAGCCCAGCAGGTCGAGGCTGCGATGGATGGCAGGGAGCAGCCATTGCACTCCAGTCTGGGCAACAGAGTGAGACTCCAACTCAAAAAAAAAAAAAAAGTAGGAAGAAACTGTGGGGTCTCGTGTCCAAACGTCCTGAGCCTCTTCCTTCTTGTTCCCTTCTGCCCTGGCTCTGTCTCTTGGTTCTGAGTAGTATGTGGGCATTTCTATTTGTGTGTTTCTCTCCTTGTCTTTTTTCCCCCTTCACGTTTTTCCCTAGTGTCTCTCCCTCTATGTGTGTCCCGTGTTTCTTTTCTATTTCCCTTCGTCTTCCCCCCTTCCCTCCCTCTACTCACCTCCCTTATCCTAATTTCTCTTTCTTCCTTCAACTGGTCAATGAGGTACTGGCATGTATAGCAGATCTGTTTGTTGTTGACCATTTCCATTTAAAACTAATTAAGACTCCCAGAACCAGTGTACTCCAAAATGCTCCTGGGTGATTTTTACAAAGTAGTTTAAATCCTATTTCCTGCATCACATCTCTCAAAGAAATTTGCCTAGTACCCTATTCATCGAACTGGTTCTTTCAATCCCCAAGCCCTCCCTTTCTTTTCCTACCCACATCCCTCACTACCTTCAATACCTCAAGTCCGCCCCAGCCCCTGCACTGGACTGCATCTAAATCACACCAGGTCACATCTGTTCTTTAAAACACAAGAGGACTTGTGTAATGTCCATGTTGAGCCAATGACCTCCCATTCTTCTGTAGTGTTTATAGAATGTTTACTTCCTTTTTTTAACCTTTCTTAAGGCTTAATACTTTACTAACTATTGGTTTTTCTCTGAAATGTATTTTTAAGATACTTTTATTTTTACATATGAGAGTTCTTTATTTCTGTCTGATTCCACATAAGAGGGTACCACGGACAGCTCTCCTCTAGACAGGAGGCTTCCCATAGTAGAGGAGTGTTCCCTTTGTGCTCATCCTTTGTATAAATCACCAGGGAGCTTTTAAATGAGAAAAGACCTGGATGACCCAGAGGGTGGTATTATAAATAGTACTCCAGCCCCCTCCTTTAAAGCTTGTCCACCTAATCCTCCTCTCTCAAGATTGGAAGTGACTTGACCTTTGAGTCTTAAAACTCAGTCTCTGTTTCTCTGAAAAATCTGGTTAGTAAAAAGCTGTTAAAACAAAAATGTTTTCAAGCCAGAGGATGACCAGACATCAAAGCTTGCCTTTTATTTCTAACATTTTTAGCCAAATGTTTCCTCTTTTGAGGACCGGCTTTTCTTGTTATTATTTTAAGACACCTACCTTAATAATTTTTTCTTTTTACTAATAGGCTATTCTAGATTTGCATTTTTATGATTTATAAAACTGTTCCCAAATGACTGCATCTCTTTCGTGAACTGAGAGCTTCCTTTTCACTCCTAAAATTATAGAACTCGGAGGGGCCTTAAGTAGTCTCCATCCCAACATTCTGGGATGGAGCTGTCTTTGTATTTCTCTAATTGTGTGTTATTTATTGAGGATAAAAATTTTACAAGACTTATTAAGGATTGTAAAATGTTTAAGGATTGTAAAATGAAGCACATGATATAGACACTGATAGATAATCTTTCAAGGTAGGGTACATGCAAAAAATGTGTAATTGTTGAAATGGGAGATTTTTTATAAAATATATTTCCCAAAAAGATAATCAAGTAAGGCCCTGTGCAGGGTCTCATGCCTGTAATCCCAGCACTTTGGGAGGTCAAGGCAGGAGGATGGCTTGAGCCCAGGAGTTCACGACCAGCATAGGCAATATAGCAAGACCACATCCCTACAAAAATATTTTTTAAAATTGGCTGGACATGGTGGCATGTACCTGTAATACCAGCTACTTGGGAGGCAGAAGCAGAAGGATCACCTGAGCCTAGGAAGTCGAGGCTGTGGTGAGCTGTGATCATGCCACTGTACTCCAGTCTGAGCAACAGAGTGAGACCCCGACTCAAAAAAAAAAGGTAATCAAGCAAGTCCTCAACCTGAAGCTATTTGTTTATATATATATGTACATACATACATACATATATATATATATATTTTTTTTTTTTAATCGGAGTCTCACTCTGTTGCCCAGGCTGGAGTACTGGAGTGCGGTGGCATGCTCATGGCCACTGCAGCCTCGACCTGCTGAGCTCAGGCAATCCTTTCGCCTCAGCCTCCCAAATAGCTGGAACTACAGGTGTGCGCCACCACACCCAGTAAATTTTTTGATTTATTGTAGAGACGAGATCTCACCAAGTTGCCTAGGCTGGTCTCGAATCCATGGGCTAAGTCAATCCTCTAGTCTCTAGAGCCTCCCAAAGTGCTGGGATTACAGGCATGAGCCACTGCACCCAGCTGAAGCTGATTATTTATAAAGAGAAGAGACACTTGTGTTATAGAGATCAACCATGTGTTTTTAGCTGCTTCTCTCCCTTGATATAAAGTGGAGGAATCTTAAATTTATCATTCACTAAATATCAGATAGAAGACTAATCTAAAACTTTCTTCTTCTTATCAATTAATAGATTGAAGAGTAAGCCTTAGTTCCAGGTTTTTCTTTGCTGACCTTAGCCAGTAGCGGTAGTGCTTTTTCTGGAAGCTAAGTCTGATCCAACTGCAGCTTTGTGCAGGAACCTTTATCTGGGACTCTTCTAGAATGCCTCACCTGCCTGTGAACCTGGAACTGTAGAAGTAATTTTAGGTTTTTTTAGTTTTGTTGCTTAATTTAAGAAATTCTGATGTTCATGTTGCTGTATTGGATACATAGGACACTATCTGTCATGAAAGAATGAAAAGCACATACAGAGCAGGTTGAACGAGGATGGTCTTCAGAAAACCTTGGGCTGAAATGTCTGGTATAGTTTAGATCTGAGTTCAGAGGGAACTGATAGAGCAGTAGTGTCTGTTGTTTTCCTTCTTCAGTCGGGGAAGCTTTCTCTTAATATATAGAGACCCCTGAATGGGTAAGCATATTCGTAGTAATTAGAATTGTAAGACATGACCTAAGGAAGCATGTATACTTTTGATTTGCTTTTAAATTTAGTTGTTAAAAAAAAAAGGAAATTTGAAAATATGAGGCCTGGCTCGGTGGCTCGGCCTGTAATCCTAGCACTTTGGGAGGCTGAGGTGAGTGGATTGCCTGAGCCCGCAGGTTCGAGACCCACCACAGCAACTTGGCGAGACCTCGTCTCTACAATAAATCAGAAATTAGCCGGGCGTGGTAGCGCACGTCTGTAGTTCCAGCTACTTGGAAGGCTGAGGCGGAAGGATCACCGGAGCCCAGCAGGTCAAGGCTGCGGTGGCTGGAAGCATACCACTGCACTCCAGTCTGGGCAACAGAGTGAGACTCCAACTCCAAAAAAAAAAAAAAAAGAAAAGAAAATATTAAACAGAAGAGGGTAGACCACATGGGTGTAGAGAAGCAGCAGCATCTGGAGACAGCCTGAGACTTTGTTAGGAATTGCACACCCTCAGAGGAGAGTAGCACAACCATCATGACCTGAGAGTAACAGTGTGTTGGTGTGGACACAGCAGGTGTCCACGTCAGCTAGAGTCCTCATTAGATTGCAGACACCTTACTGGATAACACTTGGTTATCTTTTGTGACTAGAAAGAATCTCTCCAGAGGAAAAATGTGGTACAGGAAACACATGATGCCAATCGGCTGTGTTGTTCAGGGTTCTCCACTGCAGGCTATTTAAGCAATGGGAAGATTTCAGAAGGATATCTGAGGTTTCTGGAGCTATCTGGAAGTTGGAGAACCAGGGCCTGAAGCAGGAAAGGGCAGGTTGGCATTCCCTTGCTGCCCTCACCCTGAGGAACTGCTGACTCCCCCCCAAATCCTTGGGTGGCTACAGCTTCAGGACCCCAGAACTGGGCACCCAGGTGCCCAAGTTTAGTTTTTCTTGTGCCCCCCTGCTGTCCCAGGGCTGGGAGAGAAGGATCCGGCCCTTGTAGCTGCTATGGTAGAGGGAAGAGAGTCTGTGGGTGCTGCTGGGAAGATGGTTTGGTTGCCAGACAGCAAAAAAAAAAAAAGCTGGGCACGGTGGCTCAAGCCTGTAATCCCAGCACTTTGGGAGGCCGAGGTGAGGATTACCTAAACTCAGGGTTTTGAGACCAGCTTGTGCAACTTGGTAAGACCTCATCTCTACAATAAATAAAAAAATAAGCCAGGCATGGTAGCGCATGCCTGTAGTGCCAGCTACTTGTAAGACTGAGGCAAGGGATCGCCGGAGCCCAGCAGGTCGAGGCTGCAGTGGCGGTGAGTGTGCCACTGCACTCCAGCCTGGGCAGCAGAGTGAGATTCTGGCTCAAAAAAAAAGGCACATGTAAACTATATTCAGATCATCTGCATTTATCTGAAGCTCAGTCTCTTTACAAATATTGGCCATCTTTTGCAAACTTAGCCTCCATGCTTGCATAATATTAATTTCCTTTTCCTTTAATAGTTTTTTCTCTTTTTAAAAATAAAACAAAACAAAAAACCTTGGTACTATCTTTTTAAATTTAATCTTTATGTTTTATTAACATTATACGTGTTTGTCATTTAAAGAATTATAATCCGCCTGTAGTTCCAGCTACTTGGAAGGTTGAGGCAGAAGGATCGCCGGAGCCCAGCAGGTCGAGGCTGCGGTGGCCGGGAGCAGCCACTGCACTCCA